CTAATACTCCTGAAAGGTAATTATTATCCCTATGCAAAGTGTGATTCCACATTCTGCTCCTTTATGCAAGAGTTCTCATTTAAAAAAACACAACAATCCTTTTCTTTTTAGGAGTCCAATCTCAAGTCCAGTTGGTGGAGTCTGGAGCGGGTGTGATAAGATCTGGAGGGTCCCTCCATCACTCTCGCCAAGGTTCTGGGTTCACCTTGGGAAGCTCTAACATCGGCTGAGTGAGACAGGCTCCTAGGAAAGGTCTGGAATGGGTCGCACTCATCTATACTGATTCCAGTAGACAGTTCTACTCAGGCAAAGTGAAGGGGCGCTTCACCATCTCCAGGGACAATGCTAAAAGCCAGGCGTATCTGCAAATGAACAGCCTCAAACCAGAGGATGCAGCGGTCTATTACTGTGCTGGCTGGCTTGTTACACAGTGAAAGGAAGTGAATCCAAAGCCAAATAAGAACCTTATTTTCTTCAGAGCAGCTTGTCTAACCCTCAAATCCTGGAGTTATCAAATCAAATCAAACTTATTGTCAATGCACAACGTGCATAAAATTAAATTTAAATGAGCCTCCCTTGGTGCAGCCCCCCACCAACAACACAAAATACATCTCAATAACTCAATAAATGAAAGAAATAGAATACCTAAACCCAAATAAGTAATAACTAACACGCATTCCCATATACCTATATGTATGGAACATTATATAACATTACACTGTTGCATGGTGCGCTGGCCGTGCAAGTCCATCATATTAAACCTAATTGTGGTGTTTATGTTGTGTTCAGAAATCTGGCAGCCCACGGTTAAAAGCTATTTGTCCGCTTATTTGTCCGGCTGGCTATGTTTCTATATCTCCTGCCCAATCGTAGGAGGAGATTTTGGGGGGAAAGCAAGAGGAAAAAAAGACAACAGGGAAAGAGAAAAGGACACACTTCTTTGAAGCATGCAGAGGGAGAGAAGGGGATAGAACAGGGCAAAGATTAATGTGAGAGAAACAGGCATATGTTTCCCACTAAAAATGGATGTACAGACAGTTCAAAACTATCTATGACCACAATTGAACCCAAATTGTATGTTACTAAGTGAGAAGTTTGTTAAACAAGTTTTGTCCCATTTTACAACTTTTCTTGCTGCATTCATTCAGTGAATCACTGCCATTGTTGAAATTAGTCACATGGTTGTTATGTAAATCTGGCTTCCCCATTGGCTTTGCTTGTCAGAGGGTCACAAAAGGAGAATCAAGTAACCCTGAAACATTGTGACCATCATAAATATGAATCTGTAAGTCCGAACGTAAATCACCTGAGGAGGCTGCCATAATCGTCGGAGTGAAAAATGGTCATAAGTCACTTTTTTCAGTGCCATTGTAACTTCAGTCACTAAGCGAACTGTTGTATGTTGAGGACTACCTGTATTTTATCACTTTTTTTCCTCTTTCTTTCTTTCTTTCTTTCTTTCTTTCTTTCTTTCTTTCTTTCTTTCTTTCTTTTTTTCTTTCTTTCTTTCTTTCTTTCTTCTTTTTTTCTTTTGGTCATCAAGCTTTTGACACTTTGCAAGATGATTGGTGCTACTCGAATATTGCTATATCCTAAAAATGGTACAATCTGTGAAATGGTTGCAATGGAATATTGTCCTTTAGTAGCATAGCAGAAGCCTAGTAATGAAACTTGAGGATGAACTTTCTGAACATCCAAACCGCCATTCTCATATTGAGGAAACATCTGCACCAAAGAATCTCCTTGGAGAATTCGGAAGATGGGTCCTCTCCTCATTTTTGACACTTGGGGGCAATGTTGTCTCTTGAAATCTCATTGTCTAGGTACTTGGTGGGTGTTGGGAAGAGAATTAAAACAAATGTCATTAGATATTGTCTCTTTGTGGAAGACAGAAAATTTTTAATTTTCATTTCTGTAATAATTCACTGAAATGTTCACAAGAAAATTTTCCATCTCAGGAGTCCTTAATGTGAAACTGAGAAAAAAGATGGATTTTAGGTTTAAGTCATCAGAAAAACTTATCAAGATATTTCAAATATTTTCAGGAAATGTAAACAAAATGAAAGGATCATATTATCCTATTCACTGAACATATAAAACAGTTAAAAGTTTATAAATACAAATACTATACAGCAATAGAGAAGATTTCAAAGTTTCTCTCAATGGAAATGAAAATAACTTCACTTATTCAGATAGTATACTCCATACTGGGAAGTCATGTCTGGATTTACAAGAGAAAACCTAGAGTAAACTGATTTTGGATAATACAAAGAAAATTATTTATGTTTGTGTTTGAATCGAGAGACTGCATTTGGTCAATACGAGGCACAATTTCCCCTTTAAAGGAGCCCCATGGTTTCCCTTTTCAGACAACACCCACCAACCTAAACCTTGCGCTAATTTCCTGAGTCCTCTCTCCTCAATTACTTCCTCTCATTAGAGGGAGCAAAAATGTGGCTAAGCCTTGTGTCCTTACTAGTATTCCTGAAAGGTAATTATTATCCCTATGCAAAGTGTGTTTCCTTCTATTATTCCCCCTTATAGAGTTTATTTCCACATTTTGCACTTGTGTGCAGGAGATCTCATTAAAAAACCCGCAATCCCTTTCTTTTTAGGAGTCCAATCTCAAGTACAGTTGGTGGAGTCCGGATCCACCTTCAGGGGCTATGGAGAAGACCTAAAGAGTCCCTCCTTCTTTCGTGCCATGCCTCTGGATCCACTTTCAGAGGCTATGGAGTGTATTGGGTGAGACAGCCTGCTGGGAAAGGACTGGAAAGGGTGGCATATATAAGCCCCAGCTCTGGTAATATTCACTACTCAGACAAAGTCAAGGGACGCTTCACCATCTCCAGGGACAGTGCCAAAAGCAAGCTGTATCTGCAAATTAACAGCCTCAAGCCAGAGGACACAGCTGTCTATTACTGTGTGAGAGACACAGGGAGAGGAAGTGAATCTGATGCCAGACAAGAACCTTCCTTTCTTCAGAGTAGCTCTTCAACTTGTCTAAGCCTCAAATCCTGGGTTATCAATGATCATTGTCTAGTGCAGCTGTTGCCGACTGGTGGGCCGTGGCCCACCAGTGGGCCATGTGAAAATTTTGGTGGGCCGCAGAGAAATCTCACCCCAAAAGCACCCCCCAAAGCAATTAATCCAGGCTGTGCAGAAACACAAGTGCTGCACCATCCATATGGCCTGCAGGAACCCTCCCCACCCACTCATTCCTTACCCGGTAAACTTGCCTGCTAAATTTCTATTTTTCCTTTTTCCGACCATCATGTGTTCTCTGTGCTGGGAGATTTAGATTAGTTAGGAAGAAGAAAATGGTTGGATTTCTTGCTTTCCAGCTAGTCTTTAGATCTTCGACTCTGCTTTTAAGTACAGCCGAACATCCCTTAGGACTGAAGGTTTGCTTGCAAGCAAATTCAGTTCAGACTCACGGCAAGCAAATTTGAGAGACTGAGCTAGCCGATGGCAGATAGATAGATAGATAGATAGATAGATAGATAGATAGATAGATAGATAGATCATTGAATGATTCTGTGAGCAACGCAATCTGCCTGCTTTGCTTGATTTTGGGTAAAAGTTGTTCTTTTTTATAAAAAATTCAATATTTACATGCATGGTGTGTTGTGAGTTAATTTTGTGAGTTTGCTTGTGAGCAAATTTTATGTGACAGACTGAGCTAGCCGATGGCAGATAGATAGATCTCTGAATGAATCTGTGATTCTGTGAGCAACTCAATCTGCCTGCCTGCTTTGCTTGATTTTGGGTAAAAGTTGCTCTTTTTTTATAAAAAAAATCAATATTTATATAAATATTAATAATATTTACATATAAGCCATGCCCAGCCAGTCACATGACCACCAAGCCACACCGAAAATTAGGCCACACCCACAGACCCAGTTAGTGGTCCCTGGGATCTAAAATTATGAGTTTGGTGGTCCCTGAGGTCCAAAAGGTTGGTGACCCCTGATCTAGTGAGAACTTCAAGAAGCTTGGGTGTAGGTATTAAAAAAGTTTGCTGCAAGAAAATAAAAAATTCCAAGACTACCAGTTGATCTGACTTCACTGGAATGGAATGTAGTCATTTAGTGTCCTGGCAGAAGGGTGAAAAGGAA